TCTCCTGTGACAAAGCAGGTTGCTTGGCTACAGCAACAAGAGCGGCTCCTGAGAGCTTCAGATATGTCCGCTTGAACCTCTTGGACAAGAGAAGATTTCCAATGGACCATCAAAGAGGGAGAGCGCTCTGGAGTCCTCCATTTTTGAACTTCTTCTTGGACAACTGTAAGTGTGAAAACTCTCAATCCTTCACATTTCGTTCACAGATTCTTTTTGGAAACAATCTGGGCTCCAAGGAGCCCGAGCCGGCCGAGCAGGGAGTCGGTAGTGCCTCTGAGGTGAGCGGCTGCTCTACTGCAGCGGCAGCAACGTGATTTGGCGCCCCACAGCCTCCTTGACCACTGGTGGGGAGAAAGCCGAGGAGATCTTCTGTTGGAAAGGCGACCTCTGCTTTTGCGCCTGCAGCCGTGGAGGGCAGACAGGGACGTTGGGAGAGAGGTGTAGATGGAAGTGGATGCAACATCCATATGATCCTATGACACTGGAGGCAATATTCGGATGTTCGGGACGTCGCTGCAAGAGCGAGTGACTCGCTGAGAGCATGCCAAAGTCAAAAAGGGGTTACGAAGTATGTTACGAGTGTTTTTGGTGAAGGTCTCAGGTCTCGATACGTCTCGTCGTCTCGTCCCATGTAGAACTCTCAGCGCCGGCACGCGTGCCGCTCGCCCACACCAGGCCACGTGAAGAATACCACCTGTGCGGCCATGTCGCCCAATGGCCAGTGGGTGGTCTCAGGCGCTGAACCCCCATGTGCTCCGAGAACAATCCCCGTTTTGACGCACAATGGGATCGCCCCCGTTTGGGGTGAACCACACAGGTTTGAGCGGGGGACGTCTTCCTATGTGGGGACTGAAGAGCGGAGTCTTCGTTATTCCTTTTTTGTAGTAGCGTTGTTCCCTAGTAGTACGGCCAGGAGCCCCTAGTAGCGTCCTTGCTCCTAGTAGCGATGCCAGGGAGCCCCTATGGCCCTAGTGGAGAGTGGTGGAAGGGGATGGCGGGTTTTGGGTTGATGTGAGTTGCTCAACGTTTGCCTCGGATTCTGCGACTCGCAGCTCGCAGCTCGGACAGGCGACACTTCCGGGGCTGTGAGGCTTTGGGGTGCCAAAGGCGAACATGCGCAGAAGAACGAGTACAAGCTTTGGGATGCTGGGCAAGAAACTAGAATTGGGGTGGTTGGGTTTTCTAGCTAAGCCTGGTGCAAACAGCTAGCATTGGGTTTCTCTTCGAAAGCTGCATGCTGTGAAAGCGAAAGGAAAGCGTCCATTAGATGGGAGTTCTTCAAAACACCGGGTGCCCTGTTTCGGTTCACGCCCCGGGCACCTCGGCGCCTCGCCCGCCTCGCCGTGGTCGGCACCTCCGAGGATGGCACCGTGAAGGACGTGGGATGGAGCGACGATTCGGGAAGAGCCTCGGGGGCACGCGGTTGGGACTGGGGCGGTTGCCGTGGGGTTGGGTTTGAGGATGGTGCGGTGGTGGGTGGGTGAGTTCGGGAGGTTTTGGCATGTCATTGAGGAGGATTTGAGGATTTATCAGTCCAAGTCTAATGCAGTCTACACCACGACCAAGCAAGCTCGTTGTGGAGAGCTCATCTGTGTCCGGAGGTTGATAGAAGTAGAGGGATCGTTCTACCCTGGAAGTCGCTGGATGGGCACATCATCAAATTCATCAAATTCATCAAATCCTGTCGGGTTCACGTGCCCTGAGCACATCATCGTCATCCATCTTGACCTTCGTTGCAAGTAGAACTTCTTTTTGGGGAAGGTATCACTTCGATGATCTTCGTAGGTCAGGAATTCCCCACTTCGGTGATCTTCTATCGCCCTTTCTAGAGAAGTCATATGGTTTTTTCACGCCTCCGAACCATGTTGTGGTCTGGAACCAGAGGGTGCCTTCGAGGATGGTCTCTTTGGGTTACCCATGAACATCACCACATCGCCATCACAACGAGCGCAGCGAAAACTGGGAAGAACTCTGATCGTCCGATGCCGTCCACCGAAGCCTCCCGAGCCCTCCACCCCTCCGACGGTTTAGGGCTGGTGGCCTGCGGAGACGGCAAGGAGGTCCGTGCCGTGGCCATGATTTGGGACACCGGCAGCAAGACGGGCGAGGTGACCGGACACACCAAGCAGGCCGAGACGGTGGGCCACACCCCGTGGGCTGTGGGCTGTGGGCGCCTGCGTGGTGAAGAGACGGGTTGTTCCCGGGTGGGAGGTTGGTTTGGCACCAAGAGTGGTCGGCCTGCGCCGAAAGGCGCCGGACTTTCGCATCCAGGTTGTAGGTCGGTGATGCAAGTTATTAGCTTGTAGGTCGAGGGCATCCTTCTCTTGCGATCCTTCCTTCGGGGCAGTGTTTCACATCCAAAGCGTTCCGAGCCGCCCCGTTTCCGGGCCCGGTTTTTGCTCCTCTTCGTTGGGCGCCAGGTGAACTCGATCTCCTTCCGCTCGCAGAGGCCTTTTAAGATTGCCACGGGGGGAGAAGACATGCAGGTGGCCTTTCATCAAGGGCCGCCCTTCAAGTTCGTAAGGCCTGAGGATGGGGGAGGAGAGAATGGACTGGAGGTGGAGTCTATTGAAAATGAACCTGGAATACCACGAAACACACTCAGCTGATTTGTCCAATTTGCTTTCTCTTGGTGGCTAGAACAGAGCGGCTGCCCGCACCCCTAGCCAAGACCACGCATCTTTCTATATAAGTCTGTTTGGATTTAATGAACTCAATCCTGCTACTTCAGGCTGGTTCACATGCAGGTCTCCTTCGCCCCTTGGCAGGTCTCATTCGACTCATTCCAATTTCGTGAACTGCGTCCGCTTTTCTCCCGACGGCGAATGGTTCCTCTCGGCTGGCTCGGACGCCAAGCTCTGCCTCTACGATGGAAAGGAGAGGGCTGGAGATCGAACGGCTCCTGCATGCTAGTACAGTAGTGAGTTAGTAGTGGGTGTTTGCTCAGTGCTGCAGGTCCGAGGACTTTTCACGTCCACCAGCAGTGCAGCAGGCCATTTTTT